TACGTTGCATAGCCAGAGCCACATGGTTGAAGCCGCGCTACAGTAAGCGGGCCCCACTTATCCTGCACTTTTCCAATTGCTAACGCTCAATTTCTTAAAGGGAGATTTCGTGTGTTTTTCTCCACGTGTCATTTTTGCACATAGAAATTCGAATATAATTCATATTAGTTTGGAAATTAAGCACTCATTTACTAACGATTTCAAATCTTGTTTTCCAGCGACATAAACATCCCTATTATCGATATTTCGATTGATATGTTTATGAAATTTAACTTTTATTACCTTACTTTAGGATTGAAATCAAATATCTTTTATTTTTTATTTTTTGAATTTAACAATATGTAATGTGGGATTCAAACTTTTAACGTATTAGTGAAAGATATATACTAGGTATGTCCATACGTCCCAATCGATATTTAAAAATAATAATAATAACTTTATATTTATAATTTATTAGTAATGGCTTTGTCTTAAAAATCACGTCTAATATTTATTATCATTTTACAACTAAAAAAATTAACCAAGAGTTTGAGAAATGAGACAATGATGGAGAAGACAACTTTTAGGTCTAAAAGGATATGTTATATAAATATCCAATTGTTGGAGATGAATTATTGTCTACCACACGTGTCAACGCCAGAAATTATCTTTCACTTAGATAGAGAGAAGAACCTAACGAGATTTATCATTTTCTCGATAGCTCGGTAAGTGAGGCCAAGCTGACTCATCTTTCTCATCTTCATTGATCTTCTCAAGGTATGAGCCGATCTTCAAGAAAGCTGACAGTGTGCAGGCACAAATAGTCTATAACAGAATCTTAGACAACAAGTTACAATTCTCGAAATTGTTAGAGTGTCATTGTAGCACTGTCAGAGGTCTTATTAGAATTTTATCTTTATTAAATCTTGCTTCATTTGTCAGGTACACAAAACTATATTTTATCGACTATAGGTTGAATAACTATCGATTTGAGCATGTCGAAGCTATTTCTATCTTTTGTAGGTCCCTCTATTTTCATTACTATCCTCGGTTCGAACTTCGCTGCAAACCCGATCAATTTCTTGATGACATCCAACTTCATGATCACCCATTGAAGTATTGTCTTTTCGTATTTATTATAGAAAATTTCTATAAACGAGGATCAAAATGTAAGTTTCATAAAGTATAATGATAATATTTCAAAAATAAAATTAAAATCCAACTATATTTACTAAAATAAACAAAAACTCAAAATCGATCGAGATTGAGAAAATATCTTTGCCACGTGTGATCGCATGCAAGATCCATATTGCCAGTTGCCACTACCCCTCCACCCTATTGTTTGCGGCAGATTCTTTTACAAGTATACATTTTATTATTTTCCAAAAGATTTTAAAGAGTTTTATCATACACTCTTGTTTAAGAGTTTTTTTTTCCCTTTTTAATATAATGTTATTGATTTTAAGTTTTACCCTTTCTTAAATATATTAATTAGGATTTTAGGAATATTTTTATCTTTTTCGTTTTGATTGATGAACTAGCTAGAATCTAGTTGGAAAATTATCTAAAGCCTTCCATTAAGTTATTTGAGGGAGATAGATCAGTTTTGATAAACCAACTTAAGCCATCAAATTTTGTCCTCTCAAGTTTAACAAGAAGTTTTCTTAAACTTTTGCAAAATTCATGGACTCAAAGAACGACTTAATAAACAACTCACCAAAAGACAATCTCATGTTCTTCGAATGTCATTGCAATATTTATGACTTGGGCCAAAGAAATTTTTCTTCTTCTTCCTCTTCTTCTTCTTTTTGTCTCGAGAGCTTTGAACTTAAAAGCAATCAATGTCTAAATAAGGGTTTCTAAATTCCAATTTATTAAGGTTTTCATATCATTTTGGTATCAAATCTTAAGTTCTAGATCACACATATATATGTCCCGGAAGTTCTTTGATCTTTTATTCCTGGAATGTAGATGCATCTTAATTAGGATTTTGAATTTCTTCTAATTCTTGTTGAGTGTAGCACCATAATTAATTAGGGTTGTTTATGTTGTTAATTTCCTGGAAATTTTGACTTTTTTTGGTTGGTTTAAGTTTGATCTTGCTAAATTTTGCTCGTTTGTTTTCATCTTGGATGGTTTGAAACCAATAATATATGTGAGATCAGCAGTGTTTGTTGGCGATATAAAAATAAAATAAATTCAGGCGGTGGGAGAAATTCAAAGCAGAAGTTCGAAATAAATGTCTGCAGCCAATAAACAATTGAAGTTGCTGCAAGAATTAATGGATAAAAAGAAAATTAGTAGTGGAAATCATGCAATATCCTCATGGAAATAAATAAATTTTCTAATGAGGAAGTGTGTTTTGTTCTTAAATCTTTCCACAAATGGTAAACTTTGAAATAAGGAAAAACAATAGTGTGAAATATTACTACAAGGAAGGTGGTCCACGGATAACTTTTGAGAGTTATTATAGAATTAATGATTTTGAAAAAAGAGATTTAAGTTTAATTGATTTTTCAAAATCATCATATATAAAGTGATGTGTCAGGATCAATTTAAAGTGATTTAAAGTTGATTTTAAACTTTATTAAAATCAATTTTTTAATTTGTCAAACATGATAATAATGAGAAGGGATGAAGAAGTTATTATTGGATCGGTTCTACGAAAGGTTTAATGAGAAGGTTTCCAAGATGATTAATGAAATAGAAGAGATCTCGGAGGTACACTAAGCACACAAACACATGAAAGATTTAGGAAAATTCACAAAATTCAAAGTAAATAAATAAATAGAGAGTTTTGGAAATGAGAAAAGCCATGTGATTTTGTAAGCTCTCCGTTGATAAATGTGAGATAATAGAACTACTATTTTGTGGGATCTTTGTAAGACAGAGAATCAGAGTTGGAAAGAATGTGAAATTCAATCGATGACTTTGAAAAAGTGAAGAGAGTGCATTTGCAAAGTTTTAAAAAATAGTCATTTACAATCATGGATCGTGAGATAGTTAAGTTAGCCCAATCATAAATTGAAAAAAAAAATGTTTGAAACTATTTGTGACATTTTTTTTCTTGTCATGTAATCTCAAAATGGTCAAACTAAGTGTCATGGAATACCGAAATCTTTTTTAATTTTTTTGACGTTTAAAAATTGTCATAAAGGTCTGAAAATCTAAAAAACTTTGTGTTTTTTTCTTGCAAAAAATATGCTTTGATATTTTATGACATTTTTAAAAGTGGTCGAGGGGCGAATTTACCAAACAAGCACGGACCCAAGTACGATCCATTTCAGACGTGGGTCGGAGAAAAACCCAGCTAAAACAAGCTCAATCAAGGTAAAATTCCATATTGGGCACCTTATAGGTGACACTATATTGGACGGCTTATAGGTGCGCAGCCACCTGCATCCCATATTGGGCGGCTTATAGGTGTGCAAACACTTTCACCCAATATAAGGCAACTTATAGGTGCATAACCACCTTCGCGATATTGGACGGCTTATAGGTGCGCAACCACCTTTGTCCCATATTGGACGGCTTATAGGTGTGCAGACACCTCTGTGCCATTTTGGCCTATAGGTTGGCCTCAGCAGGTCACACCATATTGCAGGTTGTAGTGTGGACCACAAATATATTGCCACCATGTGTTCTCACAACAACAAGATCTCGTCTTTCCCCTATTTACAACCTATTGGATCTGGATATCCGATTTATCAACCCCCGACCTGACCAACTTCCAAAAAATTGCTTCAACAACTGTCATTTAATCCAAATATTTATTGACTTTTTTGTGAAGTTTAAAAAAATCCATAAATCTTTATTTGTGGGGGTGGGGGTTCGAACTCATGACCTCTCGATCAGAGATTGGTGTTTTAACCACTTGAACTATGTTCAGTTTGGCAACTTCAAATTCAATTTAAAAATTGTTTTTGGAATCTCCATTTGAAATGGGAATATGGTTGGGGACAAAAGAAAAATGAAAAGCTTTTTTATTCTTTTTTTAGGAAGGGGACACTGGGGTAAATATTTGCCCTGTCTCTTGACCTTGTCCCCGCCTTGAGATTCTTAAATTATTATTAAATATTGTTACAAAGTTAAAAAGTTTAATCTTTTTTTCTTTTTCCAGCTTGTTTTTTATACTGTTTTAAAGTTATTCTCTTTTTTTCTTTTTGAAACTTCTAAAGTAAAAAATTCATCCATGGAACTAATAAACCGTAAATATTTTAATGTTACCATTTATGGCATATAATATATATTATAGTATTTAATTAAAAATAATCCAACATCTACTAAGTACGTAATAATATAGAATTTAAATCACTAATATGAAAAAATTTCAAGTACCAACTAAAGTGAAGGATTTAGGTTTGCATAGTTCATTTATTACAAATTACTTTGTTAACATTAACTAAACGGTTAAGACATCGTACTTTTAGAGGTCAAAAGGTTCAATTTCTCATTCCTATATTGGTATATTAAAAAAAAGTTACCTATTTGTTAATTTTATGGAGAACATAAATTCATGTTACAAAAATTCATTTGTGCATATTAATTGTTAGGAAAAAAAAAAGAACTTTTCTACCCTTAATTTTGATCTTACACTTTTGCCTTTGAGATTTCAATAACATTATTTTTTTTCTTTTACTTTGAGTTAGCTTTCTTAATTGAAATTTGATGTGGCTTAGCTTTTCAAAATATTTTTCCTCCCTCTCCCCCTTAGCATTACACCCTCCTTTTCACCACCACTCATATAACTTCCTAAATACATGATTCAGAATCCAAATCTAAATTTGTACCTCTCAACTTTTTGGCCAGTTATTAATGGAATTTCTTGTTGACTTTCTGTATAATATTTATTTAGACGCGGGCTTTCAAAAAAAATGATAAGTTAAACACGTAGTGACGTTTTTGGTTTCACCCAAAATATCCTATATTATCAATTCAAGATAGTTATCTTTATTTATATACCATAAATCTTTCTCTTATATAGCCAATATGAGA